GGAAGAAGAAGAAAGAGAAGGAAGAAGAAGAAAGAGAAGGAAGAAGAAGAAAGAGAAGGAAGAAGAAAGAGAAGGAAGAAGAAGGAGAAGGAGGAGGAGGAGGAGGAGGAAGAAGGAGAAGCAGGAAGAAGAAAGAGAAGGAAGGAGAAGGAGGAGGAAGAAGGAGGAGGAAGGAGAAGGAAGAAGGAGGAGGAGGAAGGAGAAGGAGGAGGAGGAAGAAGGAGGAAGAAGAAGAAGAAGAAGGAGGAGGAAGGAGGAGAAGAAGAAGGAGGAGGAGGAAGAAGAAGGAGGAGGAAGAAGGAGGAGGAGAAGAAGAAGAAGAAGAAGAAGAAGAAGGAGGAGGAGGAGGAGGAGGAGGAGGAGGAAGGAGGAAGAAGAAGGTGATATTATATGGTTCATAGCACGAGTAATCGCACAAGAGAAGAAACTGTATTAAAAAATGAGAATCAATTTGTTGGAATCAAAAGATCTCTTTGTGTTTGTTACATCTTACAGGTAAATTTCAGCAAGCTGAGTATAACTCCTCATATCCAACACTCTTTCCCACTTTTCTCCCCTTGAATTCTTGACTCTTACTCAATGCCGACCCTTGAACATTGTTGTAGTACTTCGAACTTTTTTTGGACTGACCATATTCCAATCCCATGAGCAATAGTTATGAGGGTTTCTACTGTTTTATTAATAATTATATCTAGAGCTCAGAAGTTCAGACATTTATTTTATCTAATATAGGCAGGTAAAAATGCATTTATTTTTATTAAAATAAGCATGTAAAAAGGCATTTGTTTTAGCTATGAGGGTGGGTATAAAAGGCACGTAAACAATAAAAAATAGCATTCAAAAGGAATTATTGCAAAAAATTATTAATTAAAATGAATCAGATTTTTATTCTAACTAAAATTTATGTTGGCACTTCATGCACGGTATGATCTATTGTAAACTTGATTCCACATGACCATCTGGTATGATGACTGTGAAGTTGTGTTACTCGCATTAGCTACCGGTACCAAATGCAGTTGTGGATTCTCTTTTGAATCTTGAAATGGCATTGGTGAAAATGGAATTATCTTTTTAGTTTTTCTCACTTGTGTAACCACCAGCACTGAGTTGAGAGCTGTCCTCAAAAGGGATTAGAAGTCATACAAAGCCTGTCAGCATAAACAAAAAAGTTGAAAACATTGATTGGAGACTTTCTTTTCCATTTCAATTTTTAACACAGCCTTTGCTTCTCCAGAAAGACAAAAAAAAGTGCTATGTGTTATCCAGGTTAGTAGGTATATATCCAATTTGTTTGAGATCGGTGCCAGGAGAATAAAAAGCAATATAATGATGTAAAAGGCAGATAAGGGCAAAACTAAAACAAAATAGGAAAAGTAGGCATCCGAAGCTATAATAGGAAAAAAAATTTTAAAAAAATGTTAAGGGCAGAAAAAGGCAAAAATAGGCATCCGAAACCAAAATAGGCAAAGAAGGCAAAATGAAAATCTACTAAAACAACTCCAGAAATACAACAAAAAAATGATTTCTATTTTAAAACTCATAAAATAGTAACAGTAACAAAAAGGCATTTTGACAAACATCTGGGCTCTAATTACAAATGCTGCACTTGGTAGAAATTGCAGTGTTAAAAAACTTAAGAATAAGGAAAGTTTTATAAAATATATTCAGGTAATCTCTGACTAAAACAACCTTAAAATATTATTTAACAAAAAAATATTTCGAAAGCTTTCATAACAAAGTCTGGTCTTGGTATAAATTATTAGGTTTAATACCTTTCACTTGGTTCTCATCTGGAAATATGAAATAAGGCATTTTAAAATGTTGCTCAAGTTTCACTTTTTCCTTTGGCAAGAAACCCATGAGATAGAATCCAGGTTCAAGAAGATTTTTAGCTCTTGTTTCTTCCTGAAAAACCACAAGATTATGAATTATTGCTTTTTAAAGGCAAGAAACATCTGAAATGAAATAAAACTACAACATATCTTCTTAGACAATATTACTTACTATTAAAAAATTGAAAATTATTAGGAGAAATTCCGTTTTTACCCAAATATAAGGTGCATTATTTTCTCAGTAGAAGAACGTCTCAGTAGAAGAACGTCTCAGTAGAAGAATGCGGGATAGTCTTATATTAACAGATTAAACTAAGTCAGTTAAGATTTAAGTTTTTACATTGCCATTCCATGTCCCAAAATTTGTAAATGTTGATGTAACAATAAACTGCGAAGACTAAAAATATCACGCATATCTACAATACATAATTATGTTTGAATTTGTATTCTCGGCATCCACCACGAATTTGTCAGGCAATTCAACCTATATTTTTTATAATGGGCTGGTAAAGAGAATCTCTATCCGAATGGCATTGTTTCAAATGAACCGCAACATGAAAATGAATCCCGAGAGTTTGTTACACAATGCGGGTTAATGAGATTGCAAGGAATCATAGTTTGACGTCAGGCAAATGCGAATCTGCGTTTTGAACAAAATCAGAGGCTATCAACAAGTGGGGGACAGATAGAAACTCTGACGACAGAAGAGTATGTTCTTATATGGTGTCAGATATCTATGAACAACACGAATTTAGTTTGCAAAACTTTCAAGAAGGGCCTAAAATGTCAGATTTCACAGCATGGAGGGAGGATCAAAAAAAAAAGAAACATTGATATATGTGAAGATGATGAAGGTAGTGACAAAAAACCATGATTATGAAGATTAAAGAACAAGAAAATAATAGTTCAGAAATAAGTTTCAACATTCTCATCAACAAGGTAATTTGTCTAGTCAATAAGACATTTTGTAATTTCAATTTGAAAATAGTAAGAATTAGTTAAAATATTTTTAAAAATCTCAGGTCTCTTCAAAATTAGGGGATTGGCTTACATTTGAGGTCGACTTACATTCGGGTAAATCTAGTAATAGAAAACCAATCAATGAACAAATCAAAAATTCAAGAACAGTACCATTCACAATTATGCATACAGTGTCATGAAAAATTAAAAGCAGTGAACTGCTTTTCCACATATCCAAACCAACATTCCCTCATACAAAGTAAAGGACTGTAATTATAACCCCAAACATTTGGAAGTTACAGCAAAAGTATGGTATATCAAACTTCAAATTATAATAAAAAAGTAACTTTGATAAGACTTATGGCTCAATAAAATTAATAATAATCACTAATAAGATAAGGAAAAAACAATTGAATTCTGAAATTCAGACACTGAGGTTCATTATATTATCTGAGTTCTGAACGCTAATTTTAATGGTCTGTTTAACGTTCATGTTTACTTTCTTGCATTGTTTGTAATGGTTCAGGAATATTCTAATGCTACAGCTAGTGTTTCCAACCAGTCAATTTTTTTTCCCAAGCAGGGATTTTAACGCCCACTTAGCACGCCCTTCACATCACCCCCACACCACCAGTCTCACTGGTAAAGACAACATTCCCAACACTTTACAAATTGAACATTTGCGTTTGTACTTTCTTCCTTCCTAGAAAAAAAAATATGTATCAGAACATTTGAAGCCATGTTTGAGAAAATTTTGACAATGTTGAGGTTTCAATTAAAATACTCTCCAAAAGCAAAATATCCATTTCATCTGACTACCTTAGGTGCTGGTGTGGACAGTTTACAGATGTTTTGCAGTAAACCTATTTTCCCATATCACAATCCCACTAGGAGGATACTGACCACACAATTTTCTATATGCTACATTAAATAGCATACACTTCCCACTTAAAGTCGTGGTAACTGGGTAATCCCTAGGCAATTTAGGATTCAATGGGTTCCCTAGACTTCCCCACAGGACATTGAAGTTTCTTTCCTGCATTTACTACCAGCAATGCTAAATTACTCCATCGTAATTTACAAATTGTGTGTAAAGTTTAATAGAGCTTCTGAGAGCAATTAACGAGATTAACGAAATTTTTGATCTCGTCAGGACGCTTTATTCTTGCTGGCTTCGTAAAAATGCAATGAACAAGGATATGATTCATGGTTTTTACCGCTGTATTGCACTTCCAGCAGAAAACATCCTCTCTGGGCCTTCCTCTACTAAGAGTAGTTTTATTGGCAGCGATATTTGATCTCAATTGGAGTGCAGTGATAAAAAGACCAGCTTTTAGAAGATGATTGTCTTTTAAAAAGGCATTTCCAATCATATCGTTTATATTCCCCTTAACCACTCCCCTCCTTTATATGCGCCTTAACCACTCCTAGCTTCTCCCAGGCGGCTATCTCGTCATCGGCGCATTTCTTCTTATAAGCTCTTAAATCTTGTTCAGAATAGGGCCAGTTGAGTCTCAGTGATTTTGCGGTCTTTAGTGTCCGTTGGTAAAAACTCTGACAGGAACTCAACCATCTGCAAATAGGATCTGCAGATTTTTCTAATTGTAATCCTAGGTTAAGCGCAACTCTGGGAATGTGTTGGGCGAGCCGCAGCAATCCCAGTCCTCCATCTCTCTTGCCCAGATAGAATAAGCCATCTGCAGTACTCATATGCAGATGCAGGAACGTTTTGACTGCACTCTGATTTGACTGTCCGCTTCCCTGAGCATCAACATTGATGGCATTGATAGAACCAATTGATAAAAGTAATGTGGCATTATATAGGTATGAAGTAATGCCAACTTATGAGTGGGCTTTAAATGTGCCTTTTGAAGTCTCAACACTGCTTCCATTAAATTCGATATAGATGCCTAAGATGGGAAGCCGTTCTAGATAGAGTAGTTCACTCCCAGGTATGTCAGAGTATGGTCATTGCTGATAAGGGGAATTCTCTCCCCAACCTTTCCAGACAGGGGTTCTCAATGAACCAGGATAGTTCAAAAGTTGTAATTTGAAATTATGAACATTTTGTGGCGGACAATGTCATTCCGAGGGCCCCAAGATATTCCACCACTATATCAACCAATTCTTGAGCTCTCTGGCATCTTTTACTAAAAGCACCAGATCGTCAGCAAATGCTAACACAGACACACTCCTTCCCAATAGCGTGCATCCTGACATATTTTTGTTTCTCAAGTAGGCACTCCATGATGAGATTGAAAAGAAGTGGGGACAAGGGATCCCCCTGTTTTACTCCTCTACGAATTGGCACCTCAATTCCTTTCGAGGGGTGCTGGATGACGGTGGAAACATCGGCGTAACAGTCCATTACCAAATTGGTAAAGGCGTCAGGGATCCCTTTCCTGGACAGAGCCCACAGAATCGCCACGTGAGGAACAGTGTCAAATGCTTTGGATATATCTAGAACAACACCTACACCACCCTCTGTTTTTTTCATGTCACTGACTGCTTCATGAAGAATTTGAATATTAGTGAAGCAGCCAGGTTCAGGGATAAACCCTTTCTGGCGTGGATTGAACTTTACCACGGATCGAATGCGTTTGTCCATAATGCCCCAAAAGATTCTGCACAGCAGAGAACTAATTGTGATGGGGCAATAGTTAGTGACCACCATATTATCCTTACCCTCTTTTGGTATAAGGATGGTACGATTTGTTTTCCACCCAGAAGGCACAAAGCCACTGTATAAAATTTGGGTGTACAATAGGGACAATATTTCCGTTTTTGCTCCTGAGGATATGTGGCTAACTTTTATCTTATCAGGTCCTGGAGCCATGGCATTTTTCATCCCAGCCAGATGACTTAATTTTGGCAACTTGCCCCACGTGTAGAATTGTGTCTGGGTCCATTTCAGATGTCAACAATTTATTGCCCTCTCTTAATTCGGAAAACCGAATTGGGGGCGTGTTACCCCAGATGGATTTGTACAGGTCATTAACCTCATCCCTGTTAAGGGGCTCTTTATCGACACTACTACTGCCTATGCCTGTTCTAATGCACTTTGCCAAAAGTGCTAGATCATTCTTGAAGAGGTCCTGTGCCCTAGCATAAGAGTAGCATTTCCTAGCGCGATTGCCTCCATGACTACAGGGCCTTTTTGAACTGATGGGTACAGAGGAGCCGCCCCAGATCTCCACTAACTTGGCATAGGTCTTGTTCAATTGGTCCTGGCGTACAATATTTGTTTTGAGTTCATTTCCCACCTCAGTGAGCTCTTGATCTACATTAGTTCTAGAAGTGCCCCAGGTTCCTATCCAAGTTGAAATATTTTCCTTTCAGTTAGGCTTGGCTTCTAGCGTGGCTCTGTTAAGACGGGTGGACTCCGGGCGTCATAGCAGCGGAGGACTCAATAAAAGTTTGGTCCTGTTCTAAACTACCAGCAGTGTCAGAATGGGCTGTGGCAACAGCAGATAAAACAGAATCAAAGAGGACGGGCTCAGCCGTAAGCTCCTGATTCATCTCTGAAACTATAATGGCCTCCTCGTTACGGGATTGCCCCCAATCTGCTTCCAGGGAGGCAATGTATACTATTGCAAGTTCCTCAGGGCCACTGCTTATGGGCCGAGGTTTTGGAAGGGAATTGGTATAAGGCTGTTTGCTTATCTCAACCTGTAAAGTCGTTTTCACCCCCTTTGGACAAGTGTCAAGAGCAGGGGATCATCGGCTTCCTTCCTGTCCCAATAGTAGGCCAATAGTAGGGAGAAGAAGAAATCAGCATAGGGATTTGGCTTACTGGAGTCTTCAGGGGGCTAATGACCCTGCAAGGCAATGAGAAAATAGCAGCACTAGTAGAAGGTCTAAATAAATCATTGGACCACCGACCATCAGATGGGGTCGAAGATTACTCTGCAGTGACGGTAGCTGGAGTTTCAATGGTTGCTAAATATCTTCGATAAGTAGTCTCTCTTCTTTTTTTACCCACCTGTCAGGCTTTTTTCACCCAGTAGAGCGGACAAATTCTCATTCAACATCTCTGTTGCTCTTTCTTCAATGCCGCTATTTTCATAATTTCCTCCGAAGAGAAGACTTTCCCTGCTCTAGGCACAGCAGTCCTACCACTACGCTGCACCTTGGCAGCTCAAGCCCTTTTAGCTGCGTCTGGATGAACATGGCGCAAATGTTGTGAGGGCCCTGATTTGGTTGCGAAGTTGGCGGAGTCTCGCCTATCGCCCATCCCTCTTGGCTGCACCTCAAGTTGCCCTGAGATGCAATACCAAGGGTCGGCCACGCAACGGCAAACCCATTACAGGCGTTTATTACGGCCATACGATTGCAATCCCATTACAGGAGGGCTTCTCAGTACTTACTGGGATAGGTTTACTAGCATCGCCGACACCACCAAGACCCTGGGCGACATCGGACCCCCAAAGGATTAGTATTAGAGGTAATAATTTATTGGAGGAAGTAATTTAGTACATATAGGAGTAAGATTTATTTTACCTTTTTAACATCGGGGACCCACAAATAAGTTTTCCTGTCAAAAAACCATCACTTTCTGCCGCAGATATAAATTTTTCTATACAAACAACAAATATTCTTTACAAAGTACATAGTAGATGAAAAAGTACAAATTACACTTTTATTACTGAAAATTTTAATGAAAACGATACTTGGGCAGTGAATTCATTGTGATGTGGCAAAAAAGTGTAAAGAAACAAAATAGACTGACGGACGGACGGACCAGCATGTACTATCTTGCCTCACTGAAGGTTATGTAAAATATTAATACCACAATTTTTGTAAAACTCATTACATATGCAGCGCATTTGGCGCAAAAACTTTGGCTAATACATCAGCACAAATACTGAGAATCTAAAACACTGTTCCATTCACCCAGGAACACTACCCATACTGCTGGGCAGTATAGCTCTGAAGAAGGCCACAGCAAGATGGCCGAAACGTCAGTCCAATTAACTGAGACGCGGCTCATCCCGGATAGCCAAGATTACATTGACTCCGGCCGCGGAAGCCTACGAACCCAATAAGAAGCTAGTTTGTGAATTTGAAGTGAATTGAATAAATGTCTTATTTTATGTGGCAAGACTCAGGCCATCAAGTCCGCTCTTCCGTCTGACCACACAAAGTTCGCTACACTCCTTTCACCAACTAGTAGAGAGAAAGGAGGTATTTCTTGGGCGAGAAACAGGCAATTTGAATTTAGCTCAGAGGCGTCATTTAGGCTTGAGTATCTTTTACATGCTAGTAAATCTACTAACATGGGACAGCTGGCTTTACTTCCCCTTCGAAAGGAAGGTGTACGAAGGATTTCAAATGGCCACGATGCTCTCTTAGTTGTAATGCAATCTGGTAACTCCTGAAATATTGTAGCAAAATAAGTGCGGGAAATTCGAATTTGCAATTTCGAAAATTTGGAAAAATACAGTACCCCTATTTTTAAAACATTGTACATGACATGTTGAGATTTTGTTTTTTATAACAGATTTCATTCAACAGCAGATAACATTAGGCGACAAATCACCTCCCTGCTCAGTGGGAAACTGCCATCCAATTTGTAGTCGTATGCCATCCAATTTATCTGCCACATGTGTGTTTAAACCTGTTTACAGGAGTTACTGTGTGTTACTGTGTGTTTAAACAGGAGGTTTGCCAACGTGACCAGCGAGTTGGATGCCCACACAAAAACTCTCACCAAACAGGGTGCAGTCATCATTATAGAAGGACAGAATGACATCAATTTGGGTGGTCATTTTACACCTGAACATGTTGACAAACTGCAACGTGCCGCGCAAAACACGAACATTTTAGTCTCGACTCTTCTCATCTGGCACAACAAACCAACATTAAGCAAGGAAATTAAACACAGGAAGTAATTTACTACAATATATCAATAAGATTTATCTACTTTTTTGGTATCAGGGCAAGGCAACAAGAGATTTTCTGTAGAAAAATTGCCATGTTTCCCTTCAGCATTACAATACTTTCTCTATACTGCATAAGCAGTAGACAAGAAAGTAAAAGCAAAGTAGGATATTAAACACATTTAAATAATATGTACTTACAGGATTAAAGACTATTTTCTGGCCACCATACTGCTTGCACTTCATTATATCCATGGGCAAAAGTACTTCACCACTGTCCTGAAAGAATATTAAAACATTGTCAAGATAAGAAACAGAAAAATTAATACATTATTTGTTCTACAGAAAAAAAATTGTTCATTATTTATACAAGTTCTACACCAAAACGGATGTAATTACCCATGCATCTTATCTTTAGAGGTGTATCTTTGATACACTTTTCCTTTTGCCATTGATTCAATAAATATCGAAAAGAGATTTTATAGAAATTACTATTTTACTAGTTGCATTACAATCACAATTGATGTTACTTGTATTTTTCCATTTAACTATACTTCTGTTAATTTTCAGTATCATTTCTAAATATAACTTCAAAAATAAGAGAATACACAGTATCACATTATAAAAAGCATTCACTTATTCTCTCCACAGATGACATGCTTCCCTACAGGGCATTTCTCTATACACACAGATGGCAACATTGCAAGCTGACAACATTAGCATTACAACGTTCTGGCGCATAGCTTACAAGTGTGTGATAAAAGTGTTTCTATGTTACAAAGATCATTGTCAACATAGGAAGACTGATCAAGGTGAAATATAGGACATGCTCTACAGTAAGCATGTCAAGGTCGCAGGCAAGGTAACAAGCATACTGGAGCTCACGGTCATGGCATCTAGAGAAATTGGCACAAGATTTAAAACTAAGGATTGTACAAATTTCTTTGGAGTGGCAGTACAACACTGGATACCAGACCCACGACAGTCTTTGGGAGAAGTTACTTAACAGTTATTGTCACTAATTTAGCGTTATTAATTCCCATTTTCTCTTTAAGGCAAAGAAATGATCCATTAAAATGAAATAAAGATCAGCCTGATTACAAATTCTCAATTCAGAGTAAAATTTTAAAAGAAATTTAAATCAAAAGAATATTGATTTAGAAATCTTGTTTAATGTCTGTTGAAAGCGCTGTCTGGCCATAAGCAAGAATTGTTAACTTATAGAGACTTTTTATTTTATTTCACATTATTGTTCAATACAATAAATAAATGAATGATTTAATAACACAAAACAAAACAAAAATGAAGAAAGAATTCACCATGCAAACAAATTCCTGTCAGTTAGCAAAGATAAGGGAGAATGTAGTAAGAAAATACACATCAAATAGTAAAAAGTAGTCAAGAATATAAACATAATACAATCTTGGTTATTTGATAAAAAAATCTGGCAAAAATATTTTGCATTGTATGAAGACACTATTCACCCCTTCACAATACTTCATCTTTTGCATGTACACCCCTTTCTGGATTTTAAAGGGAAATGAGTGCGGAGTCAGGGGAAGTTGCCTTTGCTTGTAGGAGTGCCAGGCTCCCCAAGTAGGCAAGTAGCTTATGCAGTCACAAGTTTGATGAGCCTGCTCTAGAGAGTAATATAAACATTTTACTCTAATTTTTGCCTCACTAGCATAGAATAATTTTTTTAACATTGCATTTATCTAATCATGCAATAAAAGAGGTCCTATAATACATGACACAGCAAATTACTTTTTTAGGTCATCCATAAACACTATGACAATATTCAGACCTTTCACAACTGGTAATTCCAACATGCCTCAAACAAACATTACCTCACCTCTAAAAGGGGAGAGATTCCATCTGAAAAACTAGTTGCGATATAATACCATGTACTTAGTCATTGGTCATGGTTACATAATAGAAAACTGCAACTACTACATAATAGAAAAATGCAAGAAAATAGAGAAAGAAAAAAATCCTTAATTACTTGAAAATACAAATGTTTAAATAAAAATAGCTTTCTGACAGTGAATTCAATGAATGGAATTTGTCAAACACACATCTCTTAAAGTAAATACAAATGTTTCCTTTGAAAACAAAATCTATAAAAGGGAATAAAGGAAAAAAGTCTTAACTATCAAATGAAAATTTTAAAAATAGACCAATATACGAGTACCTTAGACCTTCAAAAGACCTTTATTCACACTTCACCTGCTGGGGTAATTTGAATCCACTCTCAGTAGTTTGTTCACATGCCAGTAGATATAAGAACTAAATTATTTTGCTTCTACTTCTCATTTTCTCTGATCACCCTATTTTGTTTACATTATTTAATGATAGTACAGACATTTAAGCTTGTGGCTAGCTGTTGCTCACTTTCCACTACGCGGCCCCAAGTTCGATTCCCGGTCAAGCCACGACTATAGTGTGCGTTTTCCTTGCAATGTCCCAGTGTATGTTCCTGTGCGACAATGAGAAAATTCACATACCTACCTACCTACCGACCTATCTACATACATACACACATTACATTTAAAGCATTCTCTTAGCTAAAAATGCCGAGTTTTAAAGAAGTTATAAGCCTAATCTAAATATGGCTGAAAGTATTATTCTGAAACAGTAAGTGCTGTACTTTGGTCTTAATTGAGTGCTGCATCTTTAACCAGTTCAAGGTACAACACCTCTGATAAATAATATACAATTTAGTAAGTTTTCTTTATATTAAAGGATTAAATGTTTCTATCTTCGCAAATTAAATGCTCATATATTTATACCTTACACACTTGAAAACTACTCAACTGATTAAGCTGAAAATTTGTTTGTTCTAACAACATATTGGTGGAATCAAATATAAGAGGTGTTTTTAAGCGATACAGAAGACTGAATTTATGAACATTTCAACTTCTGTAAATGAATATGGTGGCTTAGTGACAGTATTCTGCAGTATTGCTCACCAGGAGGTGCTAGGGTTTGTTATCTCAATGATGGATGGGTTTTGGTATAAGGTGTAAAGCCTGGTGAAACAACCACTGGAGGAGAAATATAGTTGCTGGCTCCTTCAATCAGTAGTTTCTCTGATCAATACCAGGCAAATGTGGTCAGTACCTTAAAAAAAAGTAATGGACCATGCATAATGAATGTACTTACATCACACATACACACACACATGCACTACACAATGCCACATGTTGAGAGATACCAGAAGGAAACCCTGCAAGCCAACATGTAGTTCAGTGTTGGATCTCTCACATTCCGACATGGGAGGAATACATCCACTTCCTGGGTATCACTTTTTTCAATTTCGATTTTTATTTGAATTTTACCAAGTTATAGTTCCTAATACAAGGTACAACAATACAATTACAATTGAATTCTTATTTGAATTTTATTTCATTATAAATTTTGTGGTCCAAGGTACAACATAACTTGGACCAAGGTACAAAGAGAGTATTGTACTTTGGTCTTACAGTAAATATTTTTTCCTTATTAAAAAAATACATAAAGAATTGCTCAAATATATATAAAGTAGGTATTGCAAATTACTCAATTCTAAATGTCTTTTGCAAGTGATATTAGAGCACAAGCTACATTTCATTGTTGTGGAAAAACTTTTCTCTCATCTACTCTTGATGCAACTGAAAATTAGAAATGGCTACTAATCTTCAACATTACTAATTATTTTATAAATAAGACAAATGCACAAGAAAGAGATGGAAGACAAAGGGACAATAGAAGACTGAAAATGAATTGACACAAAGTGTAAATATTTGATTCCACCAGAAACCAAGCCCAGATCCTTCTGTTATCCAGAAATTTGAAAAAAGATTAGGAACCTGGATGAAGAGAGCCAACCATGACTGGTAAACCAATACAAAAGTGTATATCTCAGTTTTCAAATATCCTTTGCACGATGTACATTTTGGTTTGAATTTTCAATCTAGGGTTGATTAGAATCTATTGTACCAGTCATTCATGAAAGTAAACCTTTGCATTATGAATAATTCCCTGGTCTAGAGGCTGCAATACAGATGTGCAGTTGGGAAGGAGGAATTCAATAATGCAAGTTTCCAATCTGCAGTTTACTTTATGAGCAGGGCAATCATCTATCAACAAGAGGATTTTTCTTTTCAGTTTTCCAATATCTCTGTCCAACTCAAGAAACCAGTCTGCAAACAGTTTTTTAGTCATCCATGCTATCTTCTTGGCTGTATTTTTTTTTTAAAATTATTAGACTTATTATTCATTCTTCAATTAAGTATCGCAACTAGGTGGCAGAATATTCTAACTTTACATGAATTAAGCCCACATTGACTAACAATAAATTACAAGAGTAGTTCATTAAAAACAATAATTATTAATAACTAGTACACCATTTCACTGCACAAGCCTCACTACACTTCACTGCACTACATAAATAGTAAAATAATAATAATAATAATAATAATAATAATAATACAACTGCTACTAATAACAACTATTAAGCAAACATACTTATTTGGAAATACTAATAATTTAAGAGTAGAAACGTAACAAGGTTTGAGGAAAGGGTTCAAGGACTGTCACAGGCAAACTGTTCCAGTCTCTAATAGTTCGGTTTATGAATGAAAATTTCCCAATGTCCATTTTCTGTATTCTTGCCTTTTGTGCACGTGATCTGACAAATTTGACCAGTTTAGTCCTCAAAACTCTCACATCTTGGTAATAAACTGAGAAGCGATGGAATTGCCTGTAATTCAGTTCCTGAGGGGGCTGGAAAATGTCTCCTGCCAGATGATTCATCGATCAAAATAGGAACGCCATTTGTATACCTCCTTTTCGAGGATGTATTTCCATTATTTGATTCATAAATTAATTTAGAGAGATTTAATTTCTCAGGTGATCACACTGTCTTGTACAATCTTCAGTCACAGCCATAACCGATCATGGTCTTCAAAATCATGCATCACCGTTACTCTTACTGCCACTGATCCAATTTTCTGTCTCATAAATCAGAACTCCCCCC